AATGTGGCAACTCTCGAATGTTCATATGGTGTTTTTCCTCAGTACGGCAGTAATGATGGTGCAATTCTCTAAACTTCAGATGATAAAATTCCCGGTGTAAATATTGGATGAACTCAAGTAATTATGCCGTAAGCTATTTAGCTCATACACCTAACGCACGTAGTGTAAATACCCGAGAGCATGTGACTAACAAAAATAAAATAACCCATGGCTAAGTTTAGTCCAGTAGTTAGTAGTCTAGTGCACCCTAACTAAGTTTCCTTGTCTATTAATATCAGATATATCGCCCGCAAGAAGCACAAAATACGGAAGAAAAAATTCCTTAATTTTGGAAACTTTAAGGTAGGTGCAAACCTCCCTTAAAATTCACAAAACACGTAATTTATTTCATTTCGCATTTTGTATTTTTTATGGTAGCAAATCATTGTAATCCCTTTTGAAGATCAATCTCCGAAGTTATACTTCTGAATTTTACTCAAACTCTGCAAAAATTGTTCTTTTCATGATGTTGTATTAAGGATCTCTTTAAAATGCCCTTAATTCTACGTACATCATATGGGACTTCCTTAGGAAAGAGGAGAGCTGTTACGGGAATGACTATAAATTTCAAGGAAGGCCTCTAGCGGGTTAATTTTTGAAATTGATAGATAAAGCGATAGACAAAGAAGACATAGGGGTATGGGGACTAAGGGGGTAAATTATGGACCAACTATGGGATCGGGCGCAGGAATATTGGGCGACCCCGCCCAAAAACTGACGCTTTTAGGCGAGAAACGACGGGTGTTTTGGGCGAGGAGTAAACGACGAAATGAGGGAGGGGAACGGAGATGAAGGGGGGCTACTGGGCGAGGAGCTCTCGCGCAACGTTGCGTTGTCGCCTTATCACCATCAGAAATCAGAATTTAAAAAAATAAATAAGTAGTAAGTAATAAAACTCACCATATGTCTTGAGAGTTGAGCGTAAAAGTGGTAAAGACGTGAGAGTTGATCGTAAAATTTGTAAAAACGGTAAGAACGGTTAAAACGATAAAGAATGTATCTTCGAAATTTTTTTAAAAACTTCTCGTCAATGGGATCTCTCGTGGGTTGCCGTTAGTTAGTCTATTACTTACCTCTTTTGTCCATTGCAACCACCCCTTCCACCAATTGAATCCCTCCGAATCCCTTTTGTCTCCTTTGTCTATAGCTTTGTCTATCAAGGTCAAAAGTCAGCCCTCGGCCTTGTTCATCCATTTTTCGTCGCCCTTTTAAAGTAAGAGCGAATCTCTATTTTTGAATGAGCCCTATTATCCATATAACTCCATGCTTTCGAGGGCTCATACGAAAATCGAAATACGCTCGGCAGGCTGATTGTTGAAATTGATAGATAAAGCTATAGACAAAGAAGATGTAAGGAGTATGGAGCAATCCTATTAGTTGAAATGAGTGGTTCTTGTAGACTAAGGCGGTAAATGATGGACCAACTATCGGGTCTCTCGTGGGTTGCCGTTAGTTTGTCTATTACCCGCGTCCTTTATCCATTGGAACCACCCGCTTCCACCAACAGGTTCCTTCCAAATCTTTTTTGTCTTCTTTGTCTATTGCTTTGTCCATCAATTTCAACAATCAGCCCGCAGTTTTGTGTTTCGTTTTCTTATTTAGCCGAAAGAGTAAATCGACCCGCAAATATTGGATAGCCCGTGACGCGACGTTTACAAAGAGGTGGGTTCTTGGATTCCTTTACGGCTCACTCGATGGGTATGTGTTTCAGAAGCAGTATCTCCACAGCTGCGTCGGCCTTCGCGATAGCCACGTCGGGGGCGAGCAACCCTCGGGACGTGAGCCCCATGTCCAAAGCCGAGCAGAACCGGATCGGGAGTTGTCGCAACAAGCGGAAGGAGTCCGTCCTCTCCACCGCGGCCACCATGCGCGTCCTCAATGTTCTCCGACACTGGATATCCAAACATCCCCAGGTACATGTGAGGGACTTGGACAGGGTGGCAAAATTTCATGAAAAATAAAATCTTGAATAATATCATCTTTGGTATGGTCATGTCCAGAGAATGGCAGGAGACAGGTTGCCGAAGAAGGTCCTTGACTGGGTTTCTCCGGGGAGAAGACGCAGAGGGCGCCCAATGAAAGGTCGGAGGGAAGGGATTGAAGCGGAAATGTTAAGGTGCTCAATCCCCCAAGATTTGTGGTTTGAAAGAGAGCAGTGGAGGTTAGGAGTCGTAGAGCGCGAGGAGGTGCTGTAAAGCGACATCTAAATATATCTTGAAACTCCACGAGAAAGATTTCATGAAATTTCAAATATTTATGAAAGACATCGAAAAATACCGGTTCCTTTTCATGCTTCGCAAAATGTAAAAATTCTGACTTTTTTCTTTTTTTGCGTGTTTGAGTGCGGGTTGCATACTCAAGCCCCTGAAAAATATGAAATGTTTCACAGCCTCGTGAAATTTCATAAAATGTTTCACTGATTTGATTTTCCAATCTTTCATCTCTTTCTTACGTTTCATGCCATCCTGGGGGCTTGGAGGACAAGGCGCATAAGTGGAATTTTTGAAAAATTAAGACATTAATGATATCCAGTAAAACTAGTCTCAATGCATATTCTGTGGAAAATTCGCTCCTCAATTCCAATTTGTAACACAGAAAGTATTAAATTGCTGATTTAACAATTCAATTGCTAAAAAAAGTGACTGCAATATTTCAATGTAAATTTTACAACAAAAAAATGCTACTGTAACCACCCCCGTGGTTAAATTAGCTTACAGTACAGTATTAGTTAAAGTAGCACTTTTGTGTTGTAAAATTCACATTGAAACATTGTAGTCACTTTTCTTAGCAATTGAATAGTTAAATCATCGATTTTTTCCGTGAAGAATCAAAAAGTTAGTTTGAACTTTCTTTCTGCCATAGGGATCCATGCAATTTCGAAACTCTGAACGCATATTTCACAGAATAGTAGATGCCCATCGACACCTCGTCTTATCAGCAGTAGTATATATCAGTATATGATCTCTTTGATAGATTGAGACTGTAATTAGATATGTATTTATATGGTCCCTATGTATAGATCGCTTATGTATATTTCTGAATCAGTAAAGCATTAAAAAAAAAAAAAAAAAAAAAAAAAAAAAAAAATTCACGGAATAGCAAAAACTGCCCTTATGCGCCTTGTCCTCCAAGCTTCTCATATCAAACGCTCTTTAAACTTAGTCGGCAGTCTCAGATAGTCTGTGAAGTGATGATTGATGAAGAATCTCCGCTCGCCATGCGTTTCGCCTTCAATTTTGCGCTTAGGCATAATCACTTCCGTTGCGCTCGATAAGTTGTATCAGTTCAATCGAACATTCCTCGAGGTTATCTTGTCACTAATTGGACGGATTTAATCAGAGTCAGCCTGATGGCTTCAGCGAGCTGATCATTGAGATGATAGACAAAGTGACTATAAGAAGAAAATGGAATGATCATATTGGCTGAACCATGTAGTTTTATAAACTACGCAGGAAAATGGTGGATTTTCGAAAGGGTCCCTCGAGGGTTGCCGTTTCTTAGTTTGTCACTTACCTCCTATGTCCATTGCAACCGCACCCACCCGCACCAATAGGATCGCTCTATTTCCCACTTAGGACAAATATGAGAGGAAATTAAGTAATGTGAAATGCAGTTTGATTGATTTTAATTGCATCCGTCCGATTGTTTTGATTAGATAGCCGAAGATTCTATCCACTAAAATTCATTATGCTTACATATCCTTTCATTTTGAAGAAATATTTCCGTTACCTCAGTTTACGTAACGTGACACGATTTTCCGTTATGGTCCTTTTACGATTCGCAACGAACGTAAAAAGATGCACATAATCTGTTCGACCTATTTGACATAACATCCCGGCTTGATTGATTCTGTGCAGGATTTCGAGGGTGATGGGTCGCTGAAAGAACTTTCGTTACAATTTTTGGAAGATATTTTATCGGGCCCAAATTTGCTACCGGCTGAACACAAAGCCGCCACACACCTACAACGGCTCCTAACCAAGGAAGACAATGAAACCAAAACGGTCGACTTAAACGCTCTTCTCACTGTTCCTCCAGTAAGTTTCACGAAACGTACATTTAAATTGACATTTTAATACATTTAATTTACAATTAAATTGCAATTTTTCATTTTTTTAAAAAATTTTATTTTTTTATTTTTTGTACATTTTAATTGATAAGCAAGGACCCTCCTGGCTGTCGCGTGACCAAGTCTCCAGGGAGACGCTTCGAGAACACAAAATTTGAGTACAAAATTTGATACATTTGAGTCAAAACTTTACTGTCCTCAATTTGAGAAACGACGGCTCGTCGTACTGCGTTAAAAACCTTCATGTGACTTTCGTTTTGCTCTTTCAGAGTATTTCGCGAAAATCACACGAAAGAATTGCTTTAAAAAACGAAAAATGAGCCAAAAGGAACACTGGGGTCAAGATTTCTTGTTTCCCAATTTCACCATGAATCTAAATGAGTTTTGTTTTTTTCAGAACTCCAGCAGGGAAACGATTGAGTCCTTGTCAGCACTGGAGATAGCTGAGCAAATGACGTACCTGGATCATCAAATTTTCGTGGCCATCCGATGCGAGTAAGTACTTTTTGATACTTTAGAAAGTGAGATGTTTTCTTGAAGCCGCGTAGGCCATCAAAGCTGTCCGTCTTCTCGATCGCTGCTGCGTATATGTTGCGATCATTGTAACAGTTGTGTTGAATTGGATTTTGACTAAAATGGACAACATGGACTGAAAACATTGATTTCTATTTTTCGTTGAGAGTTGGATTTTTTAAAATCGTTTCATTCGAGCACAACTTAACATTGCAATCTCAAATATTTCATTTCCTCTCAATACTGAAATTATCATTCAAGAAGTAGTACATTACGGACTCCTCCGAGATTTACCCGTGGCTTTAAATGGTTTTTACCTGTGCTAACTCTTATGACTGTTATGCAGTATTTATTTTCTTCTTTAAAATTTAGTATTTCAGTGTCATTTTTGAACAAAACGTTTCAATTTTTTTCCTGTATAAAAAGCTACTCTTTTTTTGCGTCTGTCAATTACAGGGAATTTCTCGGTCAAGCGTGGATGAAAGAAGACAGAGCAACAAAAGCACCTCATATCACGCTAATGACGAAACGTTTCAATGAGGTAAGCTTTCATGATCGTTCATTGAGTTAGCGAATGACATTCGCGTAAAATAAATTTAGAGTTCCTTCATAGAGGTAATATTGATTTTTCTTGTTTTAAAAAAAAAATTGCCTGCTACATTATTTAACTCATTATAGGTAATAATATTTTCTTATATTATCTGGCCCTCTGTCTGATGCGTGAATTTAAACAGTTGGAGAGCTGATAAAACTAGGATCGTGAACAGTAAACACTCACCTCAATAGGATACCTCCTTGCCGTATAAAAATGATCAAACCAGAATTCCAATCTTTTAATCTGATACATCGCTTATAAACGAAAAACTTCTCTCTGAATTCTTTCGACGTAGATACTTTGTTGTTGCTAAAAATATCCGTAAAAATATTCTCATTTTTAATTGACAAAATTAGTATCCTTTAAATGTAAAAGTATTTAAGTACTGGTTGATGTGTTTAAGTTCCATGTTCAAGTGATGGATCAAATCCTTTAACCTTAGTTATTTTATGTTTTGTATTTTTTGTATTTTTTTTTTTTTTGAAGTTTTCTTATTTTCTGTTCATATTTGCAGTAGCAAAATTTCAATTTCATATAAATGCATTAAGTTGAGGAAATGTGAAAAATTTCAGGTTTCACAACTGGTCGTATCTGAAATTATTCGTCGCCCCAGTGTGACAACACGGGTGGCAGCGATTGAAAAATGGGCTGCAGTTGCTGACATTTCAAGATGCCTACATAACTTCAACGGCGTGCTCCAGATATGTGCAGCCTTCAATAACAGCACTGTTTTCCGCTTGAGGAAAACTTGGGAGAAAGTCTCAAAATCAGTGAGTTTCCTTCATCGGCATTTCCTACAGGTTTTCCATTCCCAGGATGACGACAATATGCAAAATATTCGTGTCTTTATTCCTGACAGGAAACACCTCGTTCGCGTTTTATTTTACTTTTAGAGAAAACTTATTGACAAAGTTCCTCTTAAAAAAAAATCTGAATTTTTCATTAAAAAATATGACAATAAATTGATTTTTATATTCTCTGTGTCAGACGTGTATTCTATGAAATATGTCACGAGGGGTTTTCTTAATCGCTAAGAGTCTGATACTTAGTTGATTTCTGTGTAATTTTAGGCCTGAAACCTAAAATGGCCGTATTTTTTTCTTTACTCTGAAATAAAAAATCGGTCATATAAACCGGACGCTCGGTGTTTCATACCATCTCAAATATTCGGTTTGTCAAACTTAACTTTTGGTTTACGTAAGCGAATGTTCGGCATGTATGATCAAACTTAGTTCGTCAGTTCACTTTACTGCACAACCGAATTAGTTGGGATGATAAGGAACACCAAACTTTGGCACATACGACCGAACTTTTTTTCATTGTATTTCCCCAAAAAAGCCCGTTTTTTGAGGAATACTTAAATTTTTTTTGGGAAATTTGTGTTTACTGGGGGAAAACGAGACTTTTTTCGGACTAGTGATAAAAGTTACGTAAGGAATAATAAACTATCCGTCCAAACCCCAGTTTCTTCATGTTTTTGTTTTGTTTCGTGTGTTCAGGCCTTCATGATTCATTAAGGTGGCCCACAAAAATGAATTTCGGAAATTTATAGCCGTAACCCCCTAAATCGGTTACAGCATGTTCAAAAACACGGGAAATGAAATTTGGGGTCAATCGGACAAAATTAACCCGACGCGCAGTTGCCATTTTTCTTGCATGAAAATAGCGAATTTTTGACTGTTTTTGATGATTTTTCCCTGTCGATAAATTAACGTTACAGATGCCTAAATTGTAATCAGAGTGTGAAATTAGTAGCTACGATGCTCCCAATGCTCCCCTTCTGATAAATTTGACACGCTGCGACGTTGCCATTTTTCTGAGCAAAATCGTGAATTTCGACTTATTTCAATATCATCTCTCTGGACCTAAAAAAAAACTCAGGAGCCATCGAAAAAGTGCGCTAAAACACGGTGCTTATACCATGAGTATCTTCTTTGAAAATTTGGACCCTGTAAAATGTTTTACTCAGCGTGAAGTTACCACTTGGTAAAGAGTGGTTGACGGTAACAGTCAAGTTTCATACGTTAATGCGCCTTCAATTACATTGGATACTGTGCAATACTTTCGTGGTGGAATAGTTGCATTGGCGCCTACAAACCTAACAGGGATACTTCACTCATTGCGCAATGCATGCAGTATCCCTGTTAGGTTTGTAGGCGCCAATGCAACTATTCCACAACGAAAGTACTGCACGGTATCAAATGTAATTGAAGGCGCATTAATGTATGAAACTTGACTGTTACCGTCATGGTGTCAGGGGGTATTTTTTAACGAGGAACTTGAATCTCAACTCAAATTTTTAAAATTCAAAAATCCAAAATGTCAGAAATTGCCAAAAATGTTATCTTGAGACTTTCGAAATCTAAGACGGTTGACTGCCTGACCGGTCAGGCAGTAAGGTAACTTCACGCCGAGTAAAACATTTTACAGGGTCCAAATTTTCAGAGAAGATACTCATGGTATAATCACCGTATATCAGAGCACTTTTTCGATGGCTCCTGAGTTTTTTTTTTAGGTCTAGAGAGATGATATTGAAATAAGTCGAAATTCACGATTTTGCTCAGAAAAATGGCAACGTCGCAGCGTGTCAAAATTATCAGAAGGGGAGCATTGGGAGCATCGTAGCTACTAATTTCACACTCTGATTACAATTTAGGCATCTGTAACGTTAATTTATCGACAGGGAAAAATCATCAAAAACAGTCAAAAATTCGCTATTTTCATGCGTGAAAATGGCAACCGCGCGTCGGGTCAAAAGCATGGAGGGGGTCCAAAACTTCACTAGGGTGTAGTTTATGAACTAATTTTGCCATCTGTTTAGTTTGCAGACCCCTCCGACTTTATTTTTTGGGAGCGAAAAATTACTGAAAAAACAGTAAAAACTCACTATTTTTGCGGTTATAAATGGCAACTGCGCGTCGGGTTAATTTTGTCCGATTGACCCCAAATTTCATTTCCCGTGTTTTTGAACATGCTGTAACCGATTTAGGGGGTTACGGCTATAAATTTCCGAAATTCATTTTTTGTGGGCCACCCTAATGATTCCTAGACATAATTTATTTTCCTCTGATGCTTCACGCAGACTTAATTATTTCGACATCTCCATAAATTATTTTGTGATGATTTCAGAGTAAGCAAACGATAGACAAGCTGCAGTCGATCGTGTCATCTGATGGCCGATTCCGTAACTTGCGCGACGCCCTGCATAGGAGTGACCCTCCCTGCATCCCGTATCTCGGCATCTACTTGACAGATCTCTCGTTCCTGGAGGAAGGAACGCCAAATTTCACCGAGGACGGTCTCCTTAATTTCGCCAAAATGCGAATGGTACGCATACGATTAAAAGATTATTTCATGTAAAACAGTTATTTTTGACTTTTTTACATTTTATACTTGTCCATGTCTAATATTGAAAACTGATTTTTTTCCAGCAGCGTTTTGAACCTTAAAATTTCCGACTCGGAGCAATATTATCCAAAACAAGTCTATATGCATGAGAATCTCAGGAATGTTCTTCCTATTTGCTTCAGGCTGCTACGTAAATTTTTTCCTCATGCCTGAATGTTTAGCGATTCCAAGGACCACCAATGTTGAAATATATTTGAACAAGCAAAGTGTTTACAACAAAAACGTCTCTTGGGCATGAGTAGTTGTTGTAAAAGTCATACGCTCATAACATCGCGATATCAAAACTAAAGCACTAAAGCTCCCGACATCTTTCGCCTGTGTGTAACTATTCATGTCCAAGCTACGTATTTGCAGTATCTAAGCAGAATTGAAGCTACTCTGTCATTTTGGATGATATCAGTATAGCCCACCACCGCCGCAAAGAGCCGCGGGTAAAACGGCGAGTGTCCGACAAGTCAAAACGCCTTCAACTTGGCGCGTATGCAATATGGACATCCATGGCGCCCGAATAGTTGCATCCAGGCGCTGTGATGAGATTTTGATTGAGATTGAGACGAACATTTCTCTCACATCTGAACTGGATTCCAGAGTTGCCTGTTGTGCCGATGAAGTAAACTATTACTGATTTTTAAAGCAACATTATTAATTTTCCAAGGAGTGCATTGATTGTTTACCGTAATGATATGGCTTAATAATATTGACTAAGAGTTGAAGAATACAAAACAAAGATCGAGGCTGGAAGGTTATAGACTAGGTGGGAGCATCTAAAGATGTGTACCATCAGTAAATACTAATTTCTTTTTGGGTGGGGGGGGGGCAGACAGATTTTTCATTATTTGGTGGAGGGTATGAACACGATCGACATGAATCGATCGAAAAATGAAAACGTAAATCGATCTACACTGATTCGATCGACAACCGTGGATCGATCGACATAAGTGAATCGATCGACAAAACCATGCGTCGATCGACGAACCCGTAAATTGTTCGACAAACCTGTGAGCCGATCGAATCACGTCCATCGGTTCACGTCTTGGTTTTTCGATCGATTCATGGCGATCGGATCTATACCAGTTTTTTTAAATTAATTGGACGTATTTCTGTCAAACGGAACTATATGCATTATGACTGTTATGAATATATTCTTATATGTCACAGGGCTCATGTATTATAGTGCGCATAGTTCCGTTTGACAGAAAAGATAAAGTCGGCGTCGATCGATTCACGTTTTTGTTTTTTGATCGATTCATGTCAATCGAAGTCATGCCCTCCGAGAGAGTGCAAAATCTCCAAAATACATTGTCTCCCACTGTAAGCTTTGATTTGTCTGATTAAATGGACGGATTTCTGTCAAACGGAACTATGTGCATTATGACGTGAGCCCTGTTATGCATGTATTCTTATGGGCCTCAGGGCTCATGTCTTAATGCACATAGTTCCGTTTGATAGAAATACGTCCAAATGAAAAAATGTGGTTGCAGATCGCCCACGTGATCCGGGAGATCCGTCATTTCCAACAAGTGCCGTACAAGATCGAGCTGATCCCGAAAGCGGCGCGCTACCTCCTTGACCCGGCTCTGCTCCTCGACGACGACGAACTCTACCGGATATCCCTGGAAATAGAGCCGCGCACATCGCGCTTAAGCTCTGCTGCGTTGACTGGTCTTCCTTTAACACAACCCTTGCAGACTCTTCGACCTTAAGCCCATCAATAGGTGCTCCTCCATGAGTGTTACGTCACAGGAAAGCTCTGAATCCTTACGTGGAAAGCTGGAAATGGCTCTGTTTAAGATTTACATAACTTCACTTTCATGTAGTTTACATCATTGCCCACGCGAGAAAAAATAATAAGAATAATAAAAAAGCATACGGTGGTGACATGATGATGGGGGTATGATTCCCCGTTACGAAACTTGTTTGTTAATTTTTTAGATACTTTATCGCCAAATTTTATTGAGCACATTTGAGTTTATGAAATTTTTTGTCAATTTTCCATTAAAATAATTATGGACCGTTCAAGTGGCGTGGCGTGCTTTGCGATATATCGATTGATCTGCCATTTTAATGGATGGAAAAGGATTGATGAGCAAGGTGTTCGCAACGGACACCTTAATAATCGATCCTTTACTACAGCTTCAAATGGAGGTATATCGAAAATAATCGATCCTTCACACCCCGCCACTGGACCTTTCCAAAAATTTTCCTACATTTTATCGCATGAAGTTACAATGATAAGGAAAATATAAAATAGTGAAATCTTGGTCATTCCGCATCCTCGAATCTGCTTATTGGACAAAAAATTAGTAAGATATTGAGGAAGCATCATCCATCGTTCGAATTTGAACATACGTTGAGCACTTAAAATAAGTTATAAAAATATTGCGACAATCATTACAGTGTTTTACGAAGAACCCTTCGATGGATGAATTGTTATTTTTTTCGCCGACGATGCCAGTAACGTGACGTAATTAGATTGAAAAATATTGGTTTCCTTCTTCCATCCTTGGGGCAGGTTAAAATTACTTAACGCACTTTTTCAAATCGATTTGACCTTAACGCCCGTACAATGCAAGTATAACACGGATACGAATTGTATACACGACTTCGGGAAAATCCTAAAACCCTTTCATTTTTATACTTCGACAAATTTCGGCTCAAAATTAATTTATTCTTAAAATTGTTATGCGGTATAAAGAACGGAAATAGACTATTTGAAACATGTGGCTGACAGTACCTAATCGTTATGATTCTAATGTAGCGTTCGGCAGAACGGATTTATCATTTCCATGTAAGAAAAACTATTTTCTGCTCTTATTCCTAAAACAAAAGGAAGAAAGACAAGAGACGCAAATTTGAAAACTGAATGTAAGCCGAATATATTTTCGTCGTGAGTATCTAAGTTCGCGGCCAAAATATTAGACGAATACGATCTAAATATTTGAAAAAATTTCATGATAGGTCAATAAAGTTTTGTTGTGTTATATCCCATCCATACAGACAAAAAAGAATCGGTGTTCTAACAATGATCATAGCGGATTCCAGGTGCTACCTATACTTTTATTTGTGGTTACAATGCAGTGATGCTTCTGCGGTAACAATTATTCCGGCCGTATTGACAGTTTTGCATCCTTACTGGGACCGAAATAATTTTTACCACAAAAGTAGAAATGTAACTACGATTAACAAAAAGAAGGCAAGGCCTAGAATTAGCTATGAGGACTGTAAGAATAAGGATCCTTTTTTCTTGGACAAAGGTCAATGAAGACCGGATAGTTGCATTAGTATTTCCGAGACGGTTAAATATTCAAAATGTTGGGGTTTCGTCATAGATTATTTCTCATGAATTGAATGGTTCATCATGTGAGCTATCGTGTGATAGAAGCGGACCGTTCACTCTCGACTAATGCTTTGTCCGTCTAAATTGCGGGTTTTATGTATGTTAAAATGTTCTGACCCAGAAATATTGAGCTTTGATGTATAATGTATAAATTATCTGAGGGTATCATTGCGACGAGCAATCAGCCATGTAGTTATAGAAACCGTTGTTAGATAAAAAGCTATATGTATTGTTAATGAGTTTTATTTTTGTGTTTTCGATAAAATGACTCATCTGGAACTTTATTTCTAAGCCCTGCTATCTTCAACTAATCATGTAGATAACGTGGTATCTTCGAAAATTCATGTAGATAACGTGCTTCAAAATCACAAAGTCATGTGCCTTCACACTTATTGCGCAAAATGCTGACTGCACAGCTGTTAAATTGTGGTTGAAACAGATTATTTGTAAAATAAATTTAGAACTTCACCACACCATCAAATGCCACGGATTCGTTTGCGCATAACATATAGTTATCTTTATTCTCGGCGTTGGAGGGCACACAATAAAAAGAGAGGTGGTAAATTTTTCCTATTCTTAAAAATTTAACTAGAAAGGAAAATGTTCTGCGGAAAATACACTGAATAAAAGTGATTGCAAAATGATTTTGACGAAGCAAGTGAAGTGGACAAAGAAAGAAAGAAAAAATAAATCTCTGTAATTTAAAAAAACAGCTAATTTTTGGGAAGATTAATGGTCTGATGACAGGTGTTTTTATCATTAATTTAATTCATACCATTTAATTTTTGAGAAAAGTTCCTAATTTTCACGAACTTCATGTTTTTGTGGAATCATTTTGCAGGAAGAAACTCATTTCAAGAAAAATCTGAAAAAGGACAATTCCTCCCTCCAAATTTAGAAGCAAGTAGATTCAGGTACAGTTAGGAGTATGAGGGCTCTATAAACATGGATCTGAACGAGAATAGTTAATTTTTCAATTAATAAGTACACGTCAGATTCTCAGTACAGCCATGCGATTTTACAGTAGGCATGGATTGACATAAGACTATAGTTACGGAGGGAGTGTCAGTCGTAGAAAAATGCTACCACCATGACTGCATTTTCAGAGTAATTTTGATATGAGATCTAAAAACCAACAAACATACTTCCTCTCTCAATTTTGACCGCAAGTTTTCCCCTCTAGAGTTTTAAGAGAATGCACGAATATAGCCTACTTCTTTCATAGGTCTGTCTTCCTATTTTCTTATTAATCATTATTTATTTTTTCTCATTTCAACTTGTTACACGTTGTGTTGACCTGCAGCGATGCAATCAACAGACTGAGAGGCATGTTAGCAACTGTTTCCTGTTAACAGTACTCCAAACATGGAAGTACACTCGACCCGTTCGTTTTCTTCCATCTAGGTTAACTTCACACTTAACCACGGCTTTGCAATAAGTTAAATTGTTAGTTACTCTTACCAACCTACCTCTCTTCTTGGTTTCTCGCTTCTTCCATGATTTCGTGTTCTTCGATAATATTGAGTTGTGCCTTTTATCTCTACATACTATCCTGTACCTCGCAAAATCAATTTTGCTTCGAGTCTTTCCACGTTTCCACCTCTGTCTCTTTAGATTTAATCATTATAAAGTCATCGTGTCTGTTACACTTGTTGTAAATAAATTTTCAATCAATCAAAGAAAATCTGGTCTATTTCATCATCCTTTGACCAGTAATTGGATTGTATTTCGCAATAAGAAACCAGCACCTCTCTATATTTATATCTATATCTCTAACTCTTCCATAAAAGCACCTTTCTACATACGGAAAACAATGGCACATATATTTTTTCTAAAATGAGCTAGAAATAGTAGTTCCTTATTCTGTCGTGTTAAGGCAAAACGCCGTATGAACATTCGAAAATATCCATTTCCCCCGATAAATGTTCATGTTTGAGGAATATTATTAATATTTCTGCTTAAATCGTGTGCTAAACGTTGTGAACAACGTTACTTCATATTGAAATACGGATGCTAAAACTTAGTGAGTTTTTTGCAGTACCGCTCTCTTTTTGTGCCGCACTATCTTGACTTATTTTGCGAGGAAAGCTCGTACTCTTAAGGATGTCTGGCATTCTTGATGTGTCAGAGCACCTTCAAGTTCGTTTGATATTGTGCAACACCTCTGTCGCGAAATAGTCGCATGAAGCGCCGTGGCACTCCGCGGCGCGGCGGGCAACCGGCGTGACAAGCGCATAGGCGCCTTCAAACCTAACAGGGATACTTCACGCATTGCGCAATGCGTGAAGTATCCCTGTTAGGTTTGTAGGCGCCAGCGCGCGTTTCGCGCAGTCCAATTGTTCTGATTTCGCTGTTTCAGCTATTTCATCTTATGGAAGGAATTAGACGAACTTTAAGAGAAACTCGATTTAGATAATTTGAGAGTTACGATTCTCTTCGCTTGTGTAACAATATCAAAATACTCCATCAAAATGTCAAGGTCAAGAGCTGTGATTGGTCCAAGTCATAGAATAAGCCAATCACAGCACCTGATCTTGATATTTTGATGGCTAGTTAGAGGCATCTTCGCTCTCACGGCAACCTATAGTAAGTGCGTAGGATGGCAGCTTTGCTGTACACGCGGAAAGAAATCGATCGCTGATTTACAATTAAATTGCAATAAAATATGTCCGACATGTTTCAAATGTACATCTTACAATAGTGAAAAGCTAATTTAACAAAGAATGCGGTTAAATTGGCATTTTTTCTATTGTAATATCTAAACTGAGACATGTTGGATACTTTTTTTAACAACGAAATCGTTGAATCAGCGATATTATTTTTTTCGTGGCGGTTCGTTTAAAAAATACTGGGAGTTCCGGGGTAAAATTTGAGGATGACCCAATCGGCAGCGTAGGAAAAAAAGTGCGACTGGAAAGGATCCGACGGTGCGAATGAATGGCGAATGATTTATCGGAATCCTGTGATCGTGTCGGCATAGCGGCGAGGAAGCACTGTAATTACAACGAGCAGTACTGCATCGGGCATCGGGGGGCGGGAGTGATAGCAACTAATGTGCCCGCCCCGGGGTCCTAACTCAATCCGATAGCATCCAAATAACATTAGTCAACGGCTCCCCCCCCCCTCCTCCACCTCCACCCCGGGCCAATCCCGGCTCGAGTTACAATTCGCACTACCCAGACCATACCCGCCAACAGTTCTGATCCATATTCTCGCTTATTATATTCGCCGAACAAAATTTTACACTGAAAAAAAAGTTTACGGGCCATATAGACCTCCTACCCTTTGTTCCGGGCTCAGAGGCCGAAAGTTCCGGGTGCTGGAACCGTAGCTTTGACTGCTTCAGATGCTACGCCCGGAACGTTCAGGCTCTGAGCCCGGGACGCGAACGTTATGTCTATATAGTCCGAAAGTACGGCTTCCACGGCCGGGTTTTTTTTTTCAGTGTATGGTGAAATTGGTTTAGTATTTAGCGAGAGGGATTCAAGCGACATTGATTCGGGGCCAGTGGCGCGGAGTGAATGATCGATTATCGATAATTCTCCATTTGAAACTGTAGTAAAGAATCGATCATCAAGGTGCTCGTTGCGAACACCTTGATAATCGATCCTTTTCGATAGATTTAAATGGCAGATTATTTGATATATCGCAAAGCACGCCACGCCAATGTTCGGGACCAACGACAATATCGACGATGAACTTCCCAAACCAAGTATCTCGTTTGCAGTGTTTTAAAATCTCCGCCCCTATTTTGTTTTTGAAGGAGAACAAATTAACACCAGTCCGTGAAGTTTCCGCAGAATTGTCTTTGCTCACGCAGCGAAGAAAATCACGGCAGTTTTTCGAAATTGTCGTTGAGCAGTTTTCTATTTGAAAAATGAAGTGTGAGAAGATATTAAGTCTGAACGCTGTAAACCGGAATACATGGTTTGGGAGTTTCATTGTGGATATGTGACAGGGTCTGTGAAAAGGGATCTTCTCTCTCGAAGGAAATTAACCGGAAGAGCGGAATTTCGGAAAATGGTTAAATTTGGTGATTTAGAGTTCTCAACGGGAAACGTTCTCTAAGAGCAATTGGTTCAAGCTATGCATGGTTTTAGTTTAATTTGCTCATCACAGAAGGCGCTGGCTGCTCTTTTTCTGTGTTCATGGCCCAAAATGTCACCTAAAACTTTTTTTCCCCCGCTGATTTTTTGGCTTTTTTTTGCAGCCATCTAGATATTCTATTTAATGCCCTTAGACATCACCACAAGACTGGCACATCTTTGCTCTCTAGGCTTTCTAACAGAGATTAAGGCCGAGAAGAATCTGTTACTGCAGATCCACACGTCAGTCCGTGAAAATTTGTCACCATTACCGGGATTCGAATCCAGAACCTACTGGCCTGGAGTTAGACGCACTAACCACTAGGCCAACCTGATCGGCCAACCTAGATTGTGCCAATGACGCAATATTTTCGAGACCTCTTTCTGGCAATCTAAGCGGTGTGATCGGGGGAGACCAGAGCTATATTCGGAGATCAACGCTACTTCCGCTTGATGTCGATGGTTGATGAGCAACTTGTTGAGCGACTTGTTGTCCGCTGATGACTGATGAATGTAGGCATGAGCAATTTGTTAGGCGAGTTTTTGCAAAGTAGGAGCATAGAATTGCTAAACCAATTATTGCTCAACTCTTCGGCCATCAGTTATCATTTGGACGTATCACCATCAAACAGAACTGTGTGCCTTAAGACATGAGCTCTTAGACGCATAAGAATATATGCATAACAGGGCACACGTCATAATGCACATAGTTCCGTTTGACAGAAATACGTCCATTTGGCGAATCGAAGCGTTGACTTATGAAAGTAACTATTACACTATAGAGAATGAAATAACAGTGTGGGGTCTCTAAAATATAATGTTTCCACTCGGAAAGGAGATAAATGGGATGAAGTGCGGAAAGATTCCTTGGGGTGAAAATTTCAGAGGAGCCTTATTCGTTTGGGCGTGAATAAACCGAATAGTTGCACAATTCGAACCGAATTTCCGAGCATACGTCTTTAATGCAAAGAATTGTTCCATACGCGGTTTAGGAGTTTAAACCATGGAAATGAAAGAGTAGCGGCCAAGCGGTATCGACACCAACGAAGCAGGAGAAAGGAGTCAGTCAGAGGCCAGGTCCGTGCAGCCATGGTAAGGAAAAACATCATATGGACCATTTGAACGTTGCAAAATCTCCTCCGATAAAAAATGAATTTCCGGGAAAATTTCTGAAGTCCTCTCTTTGAAAATTGCAGAGAGTTTCGTTCGCAGTATAATCAAGGGTGGCCGAAAATTTTAAGGAAATATATACGCAATTTTTGTGAGGAATAAATATTCCACCGAGGGAAATTTTACAACATCGGGATGTCCATCCGATGTTTTTTTCTTAGTGCGACGGAGCGGGCACCTTGCTCTTGGGGCGGCTTCAATAAACTTGTCACTGCCGGAACCCAGAGAACTCCCACCTTCGTGCGCATGCGCTGAAAGAGATCCGCACACCCGATTGCCCTAATTTGCTCGTCACGGGACGCTATCACGCTACAACCGCTTTGCAAGCGGCATTTCCGTCATATTTTTTCTTTCTTTTTTTCGCAACCTCCTTGTACCTTTCCTATAGCATAAAAATTATTTTTGGAGGCCATTTTGGTCACCAAATATACTCGCAAATTAAAGTCGGAAGTGATTTGAGGAGTGTCCATCCATAGCTAAATATTGACGGAAATGGCCCGCGGATCGATATTTGAATCTTTATCGAATGATCCTGATAGATTAATCCCTATTTTAGCAATATTTTTTTTATCGATGAAGGTCATTCAATATTGATTAAACAATCAATCCGCTGGTCGTGGCATCATTCCTTCTTTATGTACAGGATATCCCGAAGTTAAACGTGATTTTTTTCAGAATCAATTTTTAGATCAACACGAGAGTTTTTTGCACCGTGATGTTTTCTAAAAAAAAAAAAAACTAAACATGCAAGCCCCTCCAAAATCCTCCCTGAAAGATTTCGATTTTTTGAAAAGTCAGAGATGTGTTCACAGAGTACATTGTGTAATAAAAGACAGGCAACAATTGAAATTCGTTTCCATTCGTAACCGTCGTTACGATCGAGAAAAAAATTGGGTTATTGGCCAAAACTTTGAAAGACTGTAACTCCAAGGGGATGAATTTTTTGGGAAAGTTAAGGAACAACAAAGTCTTATCTCGATTACAAAAATTGATTTTGAAAATACTCGCGTTTAATTTTGGCACAACCTGTATATATTAATGAAGACTTTTGTTGATTGTTTGCATTGTTCTAGGAATGTTAGACAAATCATATGTTAATGTTATGACAGTGTGTTGTCACTGTAATGAAAAATCGTTTATTATAACATATTAGTAATAGATTGCACTTTTTCATAAGTTTCAGAAGAGTATGTAGGAAGGTAAATGACTTTATAGCCTGTCTCCAATACAATAATGTGACATAGGTTGACAATTTGTGAAAGAAAAACATATAGACCAAAATATTTCATTTGACTCTAAATTCAAAAGTTAGAATTTTCGGAGCCGTTTGTGATGAACTCAACAAATACCGCTTAATTTTTGCACAAATTCTACCTACTGCTTGCTAATTCCATACATATCACTAATAAAAAATAAACGTCGAGAAACTTTGAATACAACATATTTTCAAAATATTTGTATAATGCACAGAAATGGTCTCAAAATTGAGTAAATATGCCTAACAGCTTGATTTGAGTTAAGTTCTTGGTACGAAAAGCAAATTAAACCTCATTATCTCCACTTTTTAATCCCCCACATACTATAATCGTCATTTTTTTGAAGCCTCATAGGCTCCAGACGACTGAGCCTCAGTGGCGAGGCGTGAATGATCAAAAATCTATTTTTCCCCATTTGAAGCTATGGTAAAGAATCGATGATTAAGGTGTTCGTTGCGAACACCCTATCAATCGATCCTTTTCCGTGGGTTTAAATGCCAGATCAATCGATATACTGCATATCACGCCACGCCACTAAAGCCAATCGGAAATTGATATTCCAGGGGCCATACTCTACCTTTGAAGAACTCTTGCGTTATCTCTCGTATTGACGTCTCAAACAATCTGGACAACGTTAGGGTGGTACTTGTATTCGATAGCATCGACTTCTCGATCCAATTCCTTTTCCTGTTCAGCCTTTTTGAGCTCTCTCGTCAGATCCTCGAGACCACGCTCAAAGGGCGAGGGCGTGGAGACACGGGTAACTGGGCGCATGATGGCGGGTTTTTTGGGCGTCTCTACCTCTCGCGGCCACTTCAGATGCTCTTGCGGCCACTCTGCGGGCGCCCTGCGGGGCGACCTACCATCGGCCAGGCGCGATGCTATGAGTTTCCGCAGGTTCTTCAATTTCACATATTCAGACCCAACAGATAACTCGTCCGACGCTTGTTCCACAGATTCAGGCCAGTCGAAATGCTCTCTCGGGACCTGGAGGAATAAAGAATCAAATGAATAAAAATTCCTCGAAAACGAATTTTGACGGAAATTTGGCAACGCCTGAAGGCTCATACGACGTTTTTCCCCATAAGACCCGCTGTACTGCCGCACTAAGGAAGAACGCCGTATGAACATTGGAGAGTTGCCAAATTTTCTTCGGTAAAATGTTTATTTATGCGGAACTTTATGAATATTTTTCCTTGAAATTTTCAGGCACTTCGGGTGAAATTGCGCACAAAATTATCTGAAACATTGGGGGGGGGATGTTAACAAGTCCACCAGGAAATTTGTGTTTTATCAAAGGAAATTTGGCAATGCCTGAAGGCTCATACGGTGTTTTCCCTCAGTATGGCAGTCTAGGACGCCTATGTTCACACTCGAAATCTTTTTTCTCAACTTTTGAAGTTTTGACGAGTGTGCATTTGTGCAGATTGATAAGCTCAAAATCACCTCCAACAATTTGTTTCCCAAATATGACTTCCACGGTCAAAGTCCAAAACCACGTATCTCAATCGTGGTGTCTCAAAATGTTTGCTCCTATTATACTTTTTCGATGTAAGTTCCTTGGAAAGGAAGTTCAAACTGATTTTTTTATGCTTAAAAATCGGAATCTGGGAGCGAATTTTTCACAGAATATGCATTGAGACTAGTTCTACTTGAAATCATTAATATGTCAATTTTTTTAAAAAAAACTGCACTTATGCGCCTTATCCTGCAAGCCCCTCAATTGGACAACATTTGTAAAGAGGCTTACGCATAGTTTGTGAGTACAGAAATATACATAGAGCGAGAATAGTTCGTGTTTTTCGAATTGATTAGCGCTTCCCGGTATGTTTTATGCCCCAGTGGCGTGGCGTGCTTTGCGATGCATCGATATATCTGTCATTCAAACCTATGGAAAATGATCGATAAACAGGGTCTTCGCAGCGAACACCATAATAATCGATTCTTTACCATAGTTTCGAATGGAGAAATATCGATAATCGATCACTCACGCCACGCCTCTGTTTTGAGCGTTCATCAATTTGAAGGCGAACATTAGAAAACTCATGAAAAATTCGGTGCTGGAGTCTGAGTAACGCTCAAAATTCCCGAGTGATAAGAAATGTGTAGGAAAAGTAGCACCATAAAAGCGTATGCCACTCCTCAAAGATAGTAGATTCCGCTTCGTAAAGCCACTCCGCAAGTAACAAGGTGGTAAAATGGTGCTGGGTCCACATCATATTTTGCGAGGGAAACAAAGCCAAAAAGTTCAATAATTTCAATTGGAGTCAAACATTTTGAGCTCTAATTAGTACCAGTACAAGACTGAGGGGGGAGAGTGTTTAGCTCTGGTAGCTCGCATTGGAATACTAAGTTGAGGCCTCACCGAGAGATCTAAAACGTTTTGGATCATTTCGGACCTCATCAGTAGATCGCACTCGCCATGTTCCAATGCAATCTGCCTGAACTCAACACTCTTTCCCTCACTCCTCAGTTTTGTGCTCATTAGAGCTCAAAATTTTTGAACTTTTGGGCTCTGTTTTCTTCGCAAAATGGTGCGGGCCCAGCACCATTTTTACCAACGTGTTACATAACAGTTCGAGCCACGTTTCTCAGTGATTTCTTCTCACTCCGTGAGAATATATTTCGCTTCGCATTCATATCATCCGGGGTTTTTGGGCGCTTCATAGACTTCAGCTTAGAATTTCACTCTATAAACAGTGCATTCGTGTCCCATGGATGATTTGGATCGCACTTAGCAAAAAGAAACCAGCGCAATTACACTGCTGTAAAAATGTTGCCTTTTTATGATTCTTTAATAACTCTCCCAGAATAGTACAAAGTGTTTGCTTCCCACCAAAAAATTGTTGATTTTAAGGGAAAATACTTGCGTAACTTTTAAAACTGCGCATATATTAAGTATTCTTAAAAGAAAATAAGAAGTCGCACAATTTTGAAAACATCAGTGCTACCATTTCCCGGAACTAGTTCCGAATTCCGGAACTTTTTGAGATGTTTCTGAAAATTTTCCCGGAACTTTTGGAATTCCCAAAATATTCCGGATCTTGTACATTTTCCGGAACTTACCCGGAACTTTTAAAGAAATCTAAAAGGAATCCCGGAACTTTTGACGGTCATGGAGTGGGAGAAATTGGAACAAAAAAAATTCCGAACTCCGGAACTTTTGAGATGTCTCTGAAAATTTTCCCGGAACTTTTGAAATTCCCAAAATATTCCGGATCTTTTACATTTTCCGGAACTTACCCGGAACTTTTAAAGAAATCTAAAAGGAATCCCGGAACTTTTGACGGTCATGGAGTGGGAGAAATTGGAACAAAAAAAATTCCGGACTCCGGAACTTTTGATGGACACGGATTGGGAGCACTGGAAAACACTGTAATCGCGCTGGTTCCTTTTTGCTGACTGCGTATTTGATAATTATGACTGTGGGATCGGAACTTACCGTTGGGAAAACGAAAGGACTCGGTTCTTCCGCCGAGAGATCCGTGACCGGCCACCTGTGCCTAGGGACTGACCAGGGACGTTGGTTCGCTGGCGGTGAGGGGAGGCTCGCATCTTCATCGGACTCAAACTGGTCCTCGTCATGGGAGGGCTCCACCGACACCATGATGACTCTCCTTAAGGGTGGCCGAGGCATCCTAAGGGAGGGCATCCTATGCGCTGCGGCCCTGAAAACGGAGCCCCTGCGAAAAAAAACCAAGTCCGAAGGGATTTCTTCATCGGGGGTCAAATCCGGAACTTCCTCGGAGGAATCGACCGCGGGCGCGGCCCATTCCTCTGAGGAGTCGACCGCGGGCGCGGCCCATTCCTCTGAGGAGTCTGGTGAGATCAATTCCGGCGAAAAATCGAACGACGGCGACGGGTCAAAGAGCGACAGACACTCGGCGCTTACCGCCAGCGCTGCGACGGCCAGAAACGGAACTAATTTCATCCCGGCTCGAAATCCACTCAAAATCAAACACAAATTTGAACCGAAATCTTGGAAAATCTGAAACCCGCGTTTTTCGGTGGATTCCTTTTCACTCAACGAAAGCGACTGATTCCGCGGCGTATCGCAATGTTTTGAGTGATAAGCTTTTCGATCGGTCCGCCTCGACTTTGGAGCTCAGATAACCTTCTGCTTGACTCATATTTTTATTACTAGGGCCACCGTGCTGAGCAATAAACGCGTAGGTCAGTATGCAAAGTTTCAGTTTCTCCTATGTGATGTGTTTTTTTCACGAGAAAATGAAATGTTATTCGACAGTAATTTTTTCCGGGTAGGTTCTTGAATACATAATATAAAATAAAATATAATCCCTCCAAGAAAAACCTCGATTTTTTTCCTACGGAAAAATGTTTCGTGCGATAAAAGACTGAAACATTGTAATTCACATACGACTTTCTTGCCTGATATGACAGTTTCGTTGCTCTGAACTTAATGGGACAGCATTCAGCAAAAAATAAATTATCTGACATTCAGCATGAGCCCTCCATTATAAGGGATTGAACTTTCATAGGGACTCATCTCAGAATATGGATTGATCTCCGATAAACTCCGGGCAATTCATCCACGCTGAGGAGGAAGAGACGAGCATATATTTAGCTTCCTTTTTTTTGGTGCATCATGCAAAACAAATTATTTTGCGAGTGTCCCAAATTGCGACGTGTTTCAATTCCGCGAATTGACTCAGACTTTATCTATTTCATTCTCGTTCGTTGATGGTTTTCTCTTTTGGTCTTACCCAATTTGTTTAGCGATTATGAGAGGTGACTAATCGCGATAGGGGAAAACCTTGCTGTGAATTGCTTGCCTTAGCGTCTTCATGTCTTCTTCGTGGATCACAATATTCATTTTAAATGCTATGGATGTGCACTATTGGGATACAATGTGCCGAAGCTAGGTTTTTGCCGAAAAGATACATTGGGTAATAGATTGAAAAGTAGTTTATGAGGTATTTTTTTTAACTATCAAAGAATGAAGAATTTTTTTATTTGTATACTTGTTCGTCATTTTTTACCGATACAAAACGGACAAATAACTCTGCTACCTCAACACGTGATCAACCATAGTCGACTAAATCAATAGCCAAATAATAGTCAATAGGTCGACTAAAATAGTCTCGGTGGCAGGGTCGGACTGGCTCGCATCTAAGGGCGTAGACTCTTGGCTGGTTAAAGGGGCGTAATCTGATATTTCCTGGTAGGGCATTCCCTACGTGGAGAGGGGTTCAGACAATTTTGGCAAATCAGCACAATTTTACGCTATTTTCAGGTTCAAAGTCTATTGATCGCACGGAGTAAAAATTGTAAAATTGAAAGTAAAGCAGAGCATTGAGAGCTCACGGTTCGCGTCATCGCGCCTTCAATTTTTCAGATGCAGCACGGACGTCCATCAAGTACGAATAGTTGTATCTCTGCGCCGTCGTAAACACGCATCCTTTCCCTCCCTCTTTTTCCATATTGTGTTTGTTTCCGTTTGTCTTATTCGTAATGGTGCTTCAAGCACTACGTGAGTAATACAGCCGAAGGTGGAAGAGATGTCTTCAGGCCCTTTTTAACTTTTCTTCCGAATCAGAGCATCAGAGCGACGCTTCATTGACAGAATAAAGCAGAGCGTTGAGATCTCACGGTTCGCGACGCGCCTTCAATTTTTCAGATGCAGCACGGACGTCCATCAAGTACGAATAGTTGTATCTCTGCGCCGTCGTTAACGCGCATCCTTTCCCTCGCTTTATTACCATATTGTGTTTGTTTACGTTTGTCTTATTTGTACTGTTGCTTCGAACTAGAGCAGAGCATAGCGTGTTCACGACTCACGGCATCTCGTCTTACATTCTTCATTTGCAATGTGGACATCCATCTTGCGCGAATAGTTGTATCGCGTTTACAGTTTAGATGTTTCTTACTTTTGAATTTCGAGATCAATTAAGGTTAAGTTTGCCCGAGCCATGCTATGATATGTCCAAATCAACAGTCATTTGAAAAGGAGGAAATATGTTTAAAGGTCTCTTAAGAGGTCTATAAAGGATGCGTATGTCTAAAAATCGAACCGACCATCGCTTCTAAGGGAGTTACACTACGCATAGCGAATGAAGGAGGGGGATGATAAAGCACCTGTATGTCAGAAGAAGGTGAAAATTTCACAGAAAATTATTCACGCTTCAGAAAGTAGTTCTTGGACCTCTGTCCACCACTGCCATGCGTTAAAGCACCTTTCTTTACTCCTAACTCTCTCCTCTTCCGTTCATTTAAGAAATAATTCTCACATATTCTCGGTCGTAATTTTTTTTCTTCTTATTTTTCTATCTGTAAGAGGGGCGTATTTTCGGCGAAGAAAGGGGGCGTATCTGCCAATGGCAGATTGGCCTTATGGCCAGTCTGAGCCTGCTCGGTGGGTACTATGATTTGCATAAAAGATAGTTAATTGAAAGAATTTTGGCCCTTACTTAAATGCTGGCACAGAAGGACAATCATTTGTGTCTACAAAAACGGCGCGAAAGGTGAAAAAAGATGCGAAACTACGTAACTTTTTTGGCGACGTTGCAGACTTCCTGTCATACTTTGTTTTCCGACCGGAAAACTAGTCAACGTAATTTCTTGAAAATTTCCTTGACTCTTCTTCCCTATAAGTAGAATATTCTATATAAATTTCAAGCTATGTAGTCAATTTGTTTTTCTCAAAAAAAAAAGAAAAAATAATAATAATTTAACTGACAAATCACTGCGCAAGGAGAAACTGGACTGGATTTTGCAATTTGGAGCTATAAATTCTGGCTCATCTGAAAAAACACTTATGTGCATAGGGAAACTAATGGCACCTACATTGTGTTCAAACCGCGCTAGAATTTTTAGTTACAAATTGCAAAATGTGGTTCAACTCGTTTACACCATGAACAAAAATTACATGATAGGTACATGGGAATCGTTTTTACTCTAAAAATGTCGGTATTTTTTTCAGCGCAGCCCCTGCTTTCTCACCCACGCGGATTGGAGTAAGCTTTGTCGGATCTAATTTAGAGAGTTAACAAGCACGAAAATCAAAATCAAGGCAAGACTGTCGCACGATTAAACATTAAACCCCAGAGTCACCCATTTCTGCCAGCATCTGTAAACAAAGCCATCTGTACTGATGTCACGCGGTTCCGAACCACTCGTTGTTGAACTGCCGCGCGTATTAAATCATTTCTCGCCAATTTTATTCTCTCCTTTAAAAATGCACTCCGCAAATCGTTGTGGTCTTTCCCTCGTAGTTTGCTTTTGTGCTGGATTCGCGTTCGGATTTTTTCTATACATATTTTACTGCTGGAGAGTGCATCTCGGTCAGGACCCTCTTTCTTCGAGATACATTTTGAGTTTAATTTTAAAAGCCAATCGTTCGTACGTCCCTGGGTGTCCCTGAGGGTTTGGCTTCAAATTTATGGACTCAAATAACGAAGCAACTTAGATAAGGATGACGTCATGACTGCAAGCTGGCACAAATACACCAACTACAAAGTGCTTTTCGTGAAGTGTTTGTCTTTGGAGCATACTCGCAAAAAAGAATGGTCATTAATTGAAGAGACTGGGTCCATACTTAAAGCACAATGAAGTATCTTTCCTAGAAAATAATTTTCCAGAACCTGGTTTGCATACATACCCATTTTGAAGTTGTTCTGTCTCTCTGCATCAATTTTTTTTAGGTGCCAATGAATCAATGGCGTGGCGTACTTTGCGATATATCGATGATTCTGTCATTCAAACCTATGGAAAAGAATCGATAGACAGGGTGTTTGCAACGAACACCTTAATAATCTATTCTTTACCTTAGCTTAAAATTGGGGAAAAATCTATAATCGATGATTCACGCCTCGCCACTGCAATGATTTTGTATTGTTAGGACACCTTCAAATAAATATATTTGCCGAAAAACTGTAACGAAGTGTTCATAGAATTTTAAAGTTCCAAGAATCGAGTTTTTAAGCAGTCTCATAAACCCGTTTTCTAATATGTGAATGACTCACTGAAAAAAAAAAATGTTCGATCGTTTGTACCAATATTCGGTGTTCCATGTCATCTCAACTAATTCGGCTCGTCAAACTGAATTTCCTGTTGCCAAACCGAACTTTCGGTTGGTGTAACCGAACTTGTGCGGAAAAGTGAATTGACGACCTAAGTTTGGTCATATAATGCCGATCATTCGGTTACACGAGCCGAAAGTTCAGTTTGACAAACCAAATATTTGGGATGGTATGGAACACCTGACCGACTTTTTTTTTCAGTGTAAATTAATGTCATTAAATGGCTTTAAAAAGTATCGTTCTGTGTTAGTTTTATTATTTATTACGACTTTGATTGAAACTAGAACAGGAGGAAGTGTTTTACAAATATTTTGCGGGAAAACGACCAAGAACGAAAAACAAAACCGAAGTTTTGGTATTTTGAAGCGCGCAGTTCAAGAAACGTTCTTTCGAGAGATAGCTTTTGAATTTCTAAATTATTACGCCCAAGACATAAAGTTGCCATATCATTCTACAGTTTTAGTCCCAAAGTAGAAGAGAATCGCTCTCCCGAAAAATTAAACTAAGTTTTGCGATCAGGAACTACTATTTTTGGTACATATATCAACAAAAGCACCTCTGCATGGGAAAACTGGATGCACAATTGCACACTCTGAAGTTGATGTTTCTAACTAAGTCAGAATGTAGTAACCCTCCACTGCAAAATATAGGCATATTGGTGTTTACGCACAAAGGTTTCTTTTTTGCTTGGACGGTCACAAACTATGAAGGTTCGGTGATTCAAATTAAATCCTGATAAATTTCTAAATTCATCGATGGAAAAGCGGTAAACATTGAAAAGACGCCAAAACTAGTGGAAGAAAAATTGTGTATTTACTACATGATTATTAAAATACAATACTTTCACAAACAAAAATCGTCACACGAATAGATGAGAAGAGGGAATGAACATAATTTTTTAACTAGCAATTTCATAACAATTAATTTTACTAATTTACAAATTTTTACTATTTATATGTACAGATTATTTTTTCTACAAAATTTTCACACGAGGAGGAGATTGCTGGAACAAAGATTTCATCTTTGCAGAAAATATATTTGTTGTCGTCTTTAAAAAAATATTTATTTAAAAATTCCTATTAAATAATTTCGAAGTTAAGTAGATCTTAAGCCTAATTATCACACAATGTTTCTTCAGATTGCTTTACGTTTTAAAGTCATGATCAGACTTCTCTCTTTAAATTGATTCTCACAATGAAGTAGACCTTTTACAAGTGGCGTGGCGTGCTTCGCGATCAATCGACTATAATCTGCCATTTGAACCTGTGGAAAAGGATCATAAGGAGGGCGTTTGCAACGAACACCTTTACAATAATCGATTCTTATCCATAGCTTCAAATGAGAAAGTATCGATTATCATCTCCTCATCCCTGCCTTTTACATACTGCGCTTTTCAGAGTTGTTTTTTACTGCTTGGCGCTTTTCAGTGCTTATAAATCGACAATGACATGCTGAAAAATCAAATGCAATCTGCAACGATTTTAAAATGATCAACTTTATATTTTGTTTACGTAGTGACAGATATCTCACGAATATAAAACTTCAATCGCCAGTTTGATGATACATTGCTCAAAAGCGAATAATAATTATTATTTTGAATGATTTTTTGAGGGATTTGAATGTCTTATCAAGTTTATAAAAATGTAAAAGAAGACATCACTTTACTTTCGCCCACTCTATCTTTTGTATCGTTTCCTATACTATTTCTTTTGAGGGTTATTTAGATTATAAATAGATGTGAATCGATATGATAGAACAAATGGACCAAATTACTCACTTTTAAAGATATACTATGCACTTTCATTTAAGACGCAGATTAAGACAGTAACAATTGAACTGAAAATGAAGTCTATTTCAGCGCTTAACTGGAAGGCAGTATTACTTTATACTTATCACAGCTAAAAATGAAACAGCTTTTATAGCTGCGTTAGCTGGGAGCAAAATTGGAGCTAAGTTAAGATCAAGATAGTTACGGGAAGAGCTCTCTAAAAGCTCACTATTGTCGGCAATTTTGTAAACAGAGCGTGCTATAAAATTGCCTACATCCATTTTTGAAGGCACTCCTTTCTGCGAGCAGATATACTGCTGAATTTTACTCCAAGTTGGCAAAAATTGTCATTCTTATGATACCACGTTCCTCTAGCCTCCCTTAATCGCAATGCAAATCAAATGGGTTCTCCTAAGACAAAGAACTGTTCTGGAAACGGCAGCTATGAATAAGATCATATGACCATCCATAGAGAAAATACAAAGGCTGGTGGCTAGGCAGCCATCGTCTTGAAGACTGGCTTTGGCGCACACTGGATCGAGTCAATGTGAGAGGTCACACAAAATGTGGAAACTTTAAACGCTTACAACTCCGTTAATACAAAACTTTGATATTCTAAAAGTGGTTTAATTGGTTTCCTCGTGAAATCTCCTTCACTATGCGCCCCTTGAAATGTAAAATATGACGAAATGAACATCAACATTTGCAGTTTTAATAAAAAGTTTCATGTCCGACCTCTCCCATTGACTCGATCCACTGTGCGCCGTATAAGCACACGGATTGGTGAGCGGTTCAAAAAAGTATGTACATTCCATGATGAACACTGTGTTATGCATAACAAACTGTGTAATAAACTACATTATCATTGTACATCTAACATTGAAATTAATATAATTGAACGTTCATTGCTGAGACTTTGATTTCACGTTTTTGGATGAAGGACACCGACGGACGTTTAACACGGTTTAACCTCGGAACCGGGGCTGTTAGTTTACATGGAAGACTGTATTTTTTGTTGTAGACTATATTTTTGTTTCCTGGTCAAAGAGGAGGTATGAAACCACCACAATCCGTCCCAGGCTTTCTGTTTGTTTGTTTTGGCAGCCCTAGTGACCCATTTTTCATGTTAATCAGTTTACATTGAAATTATAACGTAAAATAGTACATCTTTCTGCTAGAGCCACCATCTGTATTTTCTCTGTGATGATTATCTACAAAAAAATCTACTTTTCAATCTTTCATAAAGGTTGGATCCGAGCTGACTAATTATTAAAATTGATAGAGAAAGAGACGGACAAAGTAGACAAAGGAAAATCGAGCGAACTCATTGATGGGGGCAAGTAGTTGTAATGGACAAAGGAAGTATAAGAATTAGACTAATTAACAACAGCCCTATTTTCAAAAACCCCTGATTTCAAGAATCAGGCCCTAGCGGGCTAATTTTTAAAATTGATAGACAAAGCGATAGACAAAGAAGACATAAGGAGTATGGGGCGATCCAGGTTGACATGGATGGTGCTAATAGACGAAGAAGGAAAATGATGGACTAACTCTGGAGTCTCTCGTTAGTTAGTCTATTGCCTATCTCCTTTGTCCATTGCAACCTCCCCCTCCCACCAATAGTGCTACGGCAAAACGTCATAAGAAAATTCCAGAGTTGCCAAATTGCCTTAGATAAAATTTTCATTTTTTAAGAAAGTTATGAATATCTTCCCAATAAATTTATAAGAAAATTAGGTAAAATTGCGAACCAGAATACCTGGAAAATTGGAAGGAAAATATTTACTAACTTTCCCAAAAATTCGTGATTTCCCAGAAGAAATTTTGCAATGATTAAAGGTCCATACGGCGTAATTCCTTGGCACGGCAATATAGGATCCCTCCATACCCGTTTGTCTTCTTTGCCTATCGCTTTTTCCACCAATTCCAAAAATCAACCCGCTGGGCGTGTAAAAAGCCTACACTGGAAAAAAAAAGTCGCTTGGATCTAGAGTCTAGACTCTTGAAAACATTGACAAAAAAAAAATGCTCTTGATTCATTCGGACTTTTTGCTTGAATCAAAAAAAAAATCCGCCTGAATGAAGAGGCTAGACTCTTCGATTCAAGAAAAAATCGGATCGAATCAAGAGTATTTTTCCATACAAATGCAAGTAAGAGTCTGGACAGGGTGGCAAAATTTCATGAAAAATAAAATCTTGAAATTTCACGTGAAATAATTCATGAAATTTCAGAAATTTATGAAAGATATTGAAAAATACAAGTTCCTCTGCATATTTCGCAAAATGTAAAAATGTGATTTTCTTCTAGTGTTGGGTGTTTGAGTGCGGGTTGCATACTCTAGGACCTGAAAAATATGAAATATTTCACAGCCTCGTGAAATTTCATGAAATATTTCACTGAAATTTCCAATCTTTCATTTCCTTCTTAAGTTTCATGCCACTTTGAGTCTGGACTCTAAATCCAAGCTACCTTTTTTTCCAGTGACTGAGCTCAGCAACAAGATGCGGGGACCTGGTTTCAGCTGCTATAGCAGGTCTTGCGGACGTCAGCGAAGATGGCGCTGAATTCCTCCCCCGGGCCGGCCTTGAGGGTCTGCCCGGGGCCCGGCGGCTGGGCGAGGGGCTGCTCGGCGGCGAGGTGGGTGTAGTGCTGATCGGGGAGGAGGTACTGCTGGTTGAGGAGCTCCTGCTTGGGGATGAGGAAGGCGCCGTGCTGGGCCCCGTGGAGCTCGACGTGCGGCTGGTAGGACTGGTAGTAGTTGTGCGGCGGCGGCTGGAGGTGGTAGTTGTGGTTCGTGTCCATCATCTGCTGCTCGGCCAGCTCCAGGCCGGACGACATCCCCGGATGCTGCGAGGAGTACTTGAGGAACTTGTCCAGCTCGGCGTTGGAGTCCTCGCCGGGCGGAGGGCCCCCGGGCTCCTGCCGACCCATCTCGTTGCCCATCATCCCTTCCGAGGGCGGCGGACCGGGGGCGGCTCCGCCCGACTGGGGCGACTCCATGTTGATGCCCAGGCTCATGTCGTAGCCGCTCATCGATTCCTGGTACTCGCGCGGCATCGAGCGCTGGCTGTTCAGACCTGCAACACCCAAACATAACTTACGTTAAATTCATGCTAAGTAAAAAAAGGCGTGACTGATCGATTATCGGTATTTCCCTATTTGAAGCTATGATGAGGAATCGATTATTAGGGTGTTCGTTGCGAATACCCTGTTTTTCGATCCTTTTCTGCAGGTTTTAATGAGAGACGAATCGATATGTCGTAAAGCACGATTCGCCACTGAAAAAAAAAAAAATTGCTGGAAATCGGGAAATATATTTTAGGCGACGTTTGCAAAATACGTGATCCTCTCCGGGGAAGGGGTGGAGGAGAGCCGTATGCCATTTTTTTGTTTTGTGTGTTAAAAGATAGGGATTTGCTAAATACGATTCTTGCTGGAGCGCATTTCAGCTATGCATTCACCACTGCAAAAATGTCAAAGGAAATCGAAAAGCCCGGCGTGCATGAAGGCTATTTCAATTTCAATCTTCCGTCACATTCTTACGGCGCAATGATATACAACTATTTGAACTCTCCGGAATGCGTGAGGTATCACGCCGCATTTGAAGGCGTTTTCAAAGCAGCCAAGTTCCGATATCCAGATTATCGTTTTGCACAGTTCATATTATTTTGTTTTCAATTCTAACCACTTGTTTATTCTTAATCCTCGTATAAAAATCACCCATTTGCTAAATACAATTCTAGCTGGAGCGCAATTCAGCTATGCATTCACGACTGCAAAAATGTCGAAGGAAATCGACAAGCCCAGCGTGCATGGAGGCTATTTCAAGTTTAAGCAAAATAGTAGATTAAATTAAGCAGCAACATTCTTAATTTAAGAAAATATACTTCTCGACGACTTTAGGATTCTTTTTTTGTCAGTGTGCGTTACGAGCGCTCCTCGAAGCAGGATATGGTTCGAAAAATCCGATTTTGAGCGTTACGTTGTTCTATGGAGATTCTATGACGTCACTACTAAGATTTGACAAATCGCGGCGATGAGAGGAGGGGCAGCGCCGCCCGCAGCGAATCAAATCCGGGGGACCCCACTCCGCGAGGCTGCGTAAACAAATGCGACTACTGAAACAATATTCATCACGAAGACTAATCACTCCGGCCTGGACCACCGCTCTTCCTCCTCCTGACCCTAATCAATTAAGCTCGCCTCATTCCCGTCCCAGTGCACGCGCCCCGTCCCCGCGATATACAGGGTGATCCAAAAGTCCCGTACAACCCTTCTAATCCCTAGAATGCCCCGCTGAGGGAAAACACCGTATGAGGCTTCAGACGTTGCCAACTTCCTTTTGATAAATCACGAATTTTAAGGAAAATTTCATCCTATTAAAAAACATATTTTTCATCTGATTTTTCAAAAAGAAATTTGATCTCATAAGTCTGCAAATTTCACGGAACAATTTTCAGAAATATGTTCAAAAATAAATATTTTCTAAGAGAGAAATTTGGCAACATCTGAATACTCGTAAGGCGTTTTTCCCTGGCACGACAGTATAACCTTTAGGGTTCCTGCATCTTTTCACGGGGACCTAAAGCAACCGTTGTTTGAGTCATCAAACTTGAGTCATTCAGTTAGATGGGAATCGAACCCGGGACCTCCTGTTCGTAGAGCCAGCTCCACCGTAACTACTTCTCACTGCCGTGCTGAAGCAAAATGCCATATAAACTTTCGTATCGTACCACAATTCCCTTAATAAAACAGAACATGTTTTGAAAAGTCAAAAATTTTGCACCTTATAATTTTCACATACTTTAAATTGAATTTCGCACAAATCTCTCTGAAAAATTGGAAGGAAAATAGTCCCAAGTTTTCCTGACAATTCGCGTTTTATCAAAGGAGAAGCAAAGTCCGAAGGTTCATAGGCACAATGGTGCGGCGTTAATGATCGATTATCGATATTTCTCCATTTGAAGGTGTGATAAATAATCGATTGTTAAGGTTTCCGTTGCAAACACCCTGTTTATCGATCCTTTCCCATAGGCTTAAATAAGAGATGAATCGATAGATCGAAAAGCACGCCACGCCACTGTGACGGCGTTTTCCTTGACGCGGTAGGACAGACAGTAAATAAAGAATTGGAGCAGATGAGTGACACGAGTTGACAAGGAGGAGAACATCTGATTCGCGGACGGGTACATATTTACACGGGTGGAGCTAATTCTTGTGCCGTTCACGGCGGCGGGGTAATCGTATGGGCCGGCGACATGATCTCGGCGCAAGCGGGGGGAGGGCGGGGGGTGAGTATATTGATTAGAAGCTATTAAGCGAACAAATTACAGATATGCGCTGGAATAACGAAGAGGCTCGGGGCCGTATACGGGCAAAAGTCGGTATTAGATATTCCGGAGCGGTAGCCGGCGCAGACACTTCTGAAAGTAGCTCCCACGCTGGACGCGCTCCATGCCATGGGTTTCCAGTGCAACTTGTGTGCAACTGCAACGCCACCGAGCGGAGTGCGTCTCCGGAGATGATGACGCGACGCGACGACGGATGCCGCTCTTTCATCTTCGCACAGTTAACGCCGATCGGACGATTTTGAAAATGGGGCACACAGCACGGAAAAGAGAATTTGCAGGTGTCTGAAATGTGATGAATTTCGTGTTTAAGTGATAACTACTAAGTGAACTAAACACGAGGATACCCTTGGTTCATGAATTGAACAATTATTGGGAGAAGATATGGAAAAATGATTTAATCTGCTAAAATACGTGTGTTTAAATGGAAAATGCCGCCAGATGACGTCACTGGGCGGTGCAGTTTCTCACTTTTACATCTACTTTCATACTGTTTCCCATGTCAGAAAAAAATATTGAAAATACTGTGAAATCAGCTCTTTATGCATTTTCAGATGAAGCAGTAAAAAATTTGCATGCAAATTCTCCATTCCAACTATACTCCTGGCCGATTTTGGCGCCAGATATATGAGAGTCGCTGCACTAGTCAGAGGTACGGTTGAGTCGGCCAAAAATCAACCATACCTTTGGATGATGCAACTACACTTAATATGTCAGGCACCAAACTCGGCCAGAAGAATAGTCGGGATTGTGATACTTTTTTTTAGCGAGGGTAGCATGAAACTTAAGAGAGATATGGAATATTGGAAATTTCCGTAGAATATCTCTGAAAATTTCACACGCCTGTGAAACTTATGAGATGCATGCCATTTTTGAAACGTACTTTTCAGTGGCTAGGTATGCAAACCCGCACTTCACGGAAATAAAAAGTAAAGGTTGTTGGATGATATGGACAGTTCCAATTGATTGTGGCAGTACCCCAATAAATTAAATAACTTATCTAAATGTTCCGGCTCTACTCAAACTTCAGATGCGGTACTACCACAATCAATTGGAAATGTCTATATCATCCAAAAAATTGGGGTAATGCCGCAATTTTAGGAGATAACCCCTACCACTTTTTCCGTATCAAATGCAGGATTTCTTAATCTTTGGCAACTTAATCTCCTAATATTAAATTTTTTATAACTCATCAATTTTTTAAATGATCGGAAATATTGTACGAGAAATCACATGAAAGTTTGCAACCCTGGGCTCACACGAGGAAAACAGTAAACTGAGAAGACTTTCATTCAACTTTGCAAATGAAAAATGCCGTTTCAACTTGAGCACGTGTACATGGAGAGAATGGACACGCCAGTAATTTTGAAAGTTAGGCCATGCTGCTTTCAGGGCAAAAAGGGTAGTCTACATGTGGATTCAAATTGTCAAAAATGATGTATTAATTACGATTGCCACGGCCCGTTGTTTGTGAAGCACGTTATTTGACTTAGTTTTTGCATTAATTTAATTTTTTTTTTAGGTGCATGTATACTTTTTTTTTAATTTCATGCGAAAACTGAGCTGACTCATGTGCCGTTAATCGTACTCTCTCAAAAGTATTCACTTTTTAGCCTACAAAAGTAAGACTACCGCCCACCGACCGCCAAGAGTCTCATATTCTACCCACGTCCGGGCAGGTTTTCATCTGCACCTTGTTGTTGTTTACTGCTCTCTTTCCACTACACTTTCTTGTTTCCATCCGTCAAACTTGGTTTCTTTGTTCGGGCGAGAGATTTTCAAAACAAATAATGTATTATCTATGACTGCGGTTTCAAATCGATTAATGGCAAGATAGTATCGTGAAAAATTCATTGCCGGTAGGTGTGAAAAAGAGCGAAAAAATCGTGGCTGTACGAATACATAATAAGTTTTTACTCAAGATTCCTAAAATGAGTCATGCTGATTATGCTATGTTAAGGCCCTCTCTGAACCGCCCTTAGTGACAATGTAAACTGTGCAGGGGTTCCCTACAAGAAGGAGGTGTTTAAGGAACGGCTACTCAGTTAAGCGTTTCCGTATCTACGTTTACTTTGGGTTACTTTGATTTAGTTTTTGGTCAGATGAGCCGAAGCGACAGGTTCATCGACTACATTTTTCAAATTGATCAAAACCGTAAGTTATACTGTGAGACATTTAGGGACGAAGAAAGTATCCTCTTGAACTGATGTACTTTTGTTTCTCTCAATGTCACTCAGAGCAAAATGGAGCTTTTGCATATGTTTGGCATTTTCGATTTTAGTACTATTTCTGATGTAAAAGAACTTATGCACTGAAAAAAATGAGTTAGCGTCAGATGACTAAAAATGGTTTCTATACACTAACTCAAATTGTGTGATTTGGACACACATGATTTTTGGTTTCTGTACACTAACCACTATTAGTGCTGGAAACTAATTCCGCTACTCTAATTCGCATTCGGTAGGGTTGGGTCAACCTAACCTCAAAACTGAGAGAGGAGAAAACGGCTTAGCGAATGATAACTGGACAATACTTTCAGGAAAAGAAGTTTTTTTTTTTTTTTTTTTTTTTTTGAGAGCTTGCGCACCCTAGGTATAGTTCATTGGCCTTAGTCGTGTAGACAAACAGCCACCGCTAAATGATGGGAAGATTACAACAACAGTAGAAACAGACGTACAAAGGAAGAAACGAAGGAAGAAACGAAGAGAAACATCCATGCCACTCCACGGTGACAAGATCTGAGACCATCAAATCTTGCCACCGAGGCCGGGATTCGAACCCGGGACATCTAGGTCTGTGATCAGTTGCGCTAACCACTGGACCAACCGATGTCGGCGTCCGAACACTTGAGATATTCTTTTGAAATTACGGGAGAACACGAACTATAGAAGTAAGCAGTAAGTTCACAGATTTTCGTAAAAATATAAACTGAACGCGGAACGCTTTAATCGCAATTTAATATAGAAGATTGACGACTCCAACGAATATCATGCTTGTTTACGCTTTGAATTGAACAGACGATTTCTAACCTTAACAGGTTTATTTATGTTGCTTTCGAACGTTTTCAAGAAAGAGAGGACACTATAAATCATACCGGGAGTATTTACATTGTCAAACGAGCCCGAAATTTCACATTTTAATTTATTTTCACGAGCTGACGCGATTGAGGCTGTTGTACCGACGCCACTTTTTCGAAACTAAATAAATGTAACGGACAATGTGGCAGTTAGTGTTGAGGGCGAATTAGTTTGACCCGAAGGTGAATTTGTCTTACCACAGCGCTAATTTTACAGCTAGTGCTGTTTTCCAATTCTGGTTCGCGCTCTAGTAAAGTCAAGTCAGCGTATGAAGCGAATTGATTGGTGCTTCAGTACAATAAATTAGTTCTGAAGCCTAATTTTGATTCTACTTGGCGAGAACCAACCAAATTAGTTCTCAACGCTAACTACTTTTTTTTCAGTGTGCAAAAAATACCAAACCCCCCATGGCTCTGATTGATTTCATTTTTTAGTATGAATTTTCTCTGCATCAAAGATCCCTATTTCTGAAAATCTCAAGTCCCAAAACATTTTCCTGCGAAGCGATAGTGTTGCCAAGTTGCCATTTGCACAATTCGATAAGTTGTAAATGCATTTAGTTATTAAATTGCGGTCTGCAGTACATTGTTCAAGAAACTGAAAATTTGTCTTCTTTTTCATACTTCAACACCAAATATTGGTTCCTTTTTCTCACTGTTTTCGGGCATTCTCATGTGAGAAAGGGATTCGATGAAAGTTGGCGCTTCCACCGGAGATCCGAACCGGGAAACGGAGGGTTGGAAGCGGGGTCGGCCGGCCGCAGAGTCGGGATCGGGCGAGATGGCGGCCGGTTCACCCGCGGGACCTTTACCAATATTTCAACGAGGACGTTAGGTTCTGACGTTAATTCCCCATTATATCGCGGGCGCGAATGTAGACTACGCATGCCCCGGTCCCGGTACGGTTCCGACGCCCGCTTCGCCCGGTCCGCGCAACTGTTACGAGCCCGTGAGGAATGGAACCGTACTCCCGCACTCAGGACAAACGCCGTATGGACCTTCGGACGTTGTCAAATTTTCTTCGGCGAAACGAGAATTTTCAAAAAAATGAGACTGTTTTCCTTCAAATTTTCAAGAGGAAGAAGAGGTATTGGTAAGGGTAAGATGGGAATCTAGTAAATTGGCAACACCGGATTTCCTCCATTTAAACCTATGCTAAATAATCGATTTTTGTTGAAGCACTTGACCCCTCCAAGAATCGATACATTTCCATAGGTTTAAATGGAGAAAAGACAATGTTGCCGATTTGCTGGATCCACCAATACAAGGGCTGTTTTTGGACCCATCCGGGCTGAATTTCCTCAACCCGACGATTTTTTGCTCATTGGAGGTTCATATTTTACACTGGGAAACAAGTCACTAAAATCTAGGGTCCAGACTCTTAAAAAATTTGACAAGAAAAAATACTCTTGATTCAATCAAATTTTTGCTTTAATCATCCGCTTAAATTATGAGCCTTAACTTTTGATTCAAGGAAAAATCCGATTGAATCAAGAGTATTTTTCCTTGTCAATTTTTTAAAGCGTCTGGACTCTACGTCCAAGAGATTTTTCTTCCAGTGTACTGAATGCATCATGATTTGGTCATTTTTGGTCTCTTGTCACTTCTAATACTGACGAAACATGGGTCTGAAGGTCGATTTTGACGAAAAATGCGGATTTTTCGACATTTAACCGCAATTGACCAAGCTTGAATTTTTCGCTAAAATAAGCCCATCATCAGATCCATTTTCAAGCCAGTTTTAAACCAGAAAAGAGACCAAAAATGACGAAATACGATGGATTCCGTAAAATATCGAATTTCATACTTCCAATACGCAGAAAATCATAGAGTTGAGGCAATTCAGAGTGGGCCCAAGAGCGAAGCATGTCGCTAACCTTCCTCGTTCACAATGTGATCTAAAGTAAAAAACCGCCAAAAATTCATGGCGAAAAATTCATGTATGTATGTATAAAGCCGCTTTTATAGCCCTCTATGGCGCTCTGCGACTCCTAGCCGCCAAAGTCCCCTTTCCTCCCAAAGCCCTTCAGGGAGTTGGCAAACCCTCATTTCTTCTAAAACCCCCTGTCGCCACCCTTTCACTGGGCGTTCTCTTCGTCTCCTCCCTCGAAAAATGCATATCTTGTCTAAAAAATGAATGCTTCGACGAAGGAAATGTGGCAACATCCGAGGGCTCTTACGTGGTTTTTCCTTAGGACGGGAGCGTACAATGACCAACGTTACGACTTACAACTGAAGAAGCGGGGCCTCAGCGTGGTCCGACCCGCCTACCGACGCGAAGAGTCCCGCCTGATGAAAATTCGACACCTCGACCAGGATTCGCTGGACCTCCAACATTGCTCACGTTCGGCTGCCCAACGCCGCGCCGTTTCATCTCTCTCTCTCTCTCAACATCTCCTCAACTAGGGGAAGTTTTCATAGCCGATCCTGAAACAGCCATTTTCTTCAAAAAGGCCCAAATGGTGCTCTACAGCACGTTCATTTAAAATTTGAGAGAAAAAAACTGAGAAGTGGTCCGAATACTGAATGTAACAAGGTGGAGAAATGGTGCTGGGTCCACACCTGCGTGGAACCACAGTGCTGTAAAAATGTTGCTTCTTCGTGTTCATCTACAAAATCTCCCAGAATAGCAAGTAGTTTTTACTTCCCACCAGAAAATGGTTAATTTCGAAGGGGGAAAAATTGTATACATTGTAATATTGCACATACATTAAGTATTTTTAAAAAAACGGAGAAAATGCACGATTTCGAAAACACTGTAATCGCGCTGGTTCCTTTTCGCCAAATGCGATACAAACGTGCATCGATCTGCAATATGAAATTTCATTTATTTTTCACTCAAAAAAAAAATCTCGGTGTATTTACTGAGAAAAGGGTAAAATTACCAAGAATTTAGGGTTCTATTTGATCCCAGTTTTTCCTTGGTAAAATTACCATTTATGGAATTGGTAATTTTACCGAGAAATCTCGGTAAAATAATTGAACTTTCTCGGGAATTTTACTAGACTTTGGTAAAAACGCCAATATTTTCTATCGACTGTGGTAGAATTACCGAGATAAAATGGCAAAGTTACCGGGAATCGATCACCAATAAAAGTGGTATTCTTACCTGAAAAAAAAACCAGTAAAAATACCGATTTTTAGGTAAGCTTACCAGTCTGTCTTGATAAAATTACCAATAGTTGGTAAAAAAGTGAGATGGTAAAGGTACCAACGGACCTTGGTAAAAACGCCGAGTATTTTTTTTTCAGTGTTCATTTGATAATTTCAAGAATAGTCACCTGAATAATTTTCCAAGGGCGTCCTAGCGGCGGACGAGCCAGGACTGCTGCAGGTGGCGTACTGAGATCCGGCGACCGGGGACCCGGCTCCGAGACCGGCGGACGGGTAGCTCGGCAGGAAAGACCGGGAGGAGTGCGAGGAGGCGGCCGTGTACATATGATGCGAGGAGGACCCGCCAAGGACCTGCTGGTCCTGTGAGGTAGCGATCGGAGGAAAGAAAGTCCCGGTAACCATCCCGCTATGGTCGTATCCCGCTATGCTCCCCTTCGTGCACATCATGACCATCCCCTTGTTGACGCTCATGGCTATGGGGCTGTGCCCCTGTGGGCCCGCGGGGTAGCCCGAGCCGTAGCTGAGGTTATGGGCCCGGTACGGCCCCGCCGCCTGCGGGAGCCGGTGCGAGTAGTAGCTGGCCGTGTCGGCCGCGCTCGAGACGGGCACCGGCACCGGGTATTGGTAGACCCGCTTGCTGTCCTCCATCTGGTGGTTGTGGTTGTTGAAGTCCTTCTCCTGCTCCATCGGGGACATCTCCGGGGTCGGCAGGCTTGGGTTCGCCGCTTCCTCGCCTGCAAATCAAACATATTATTTTCAAAACCGTCTCGGGAATTTTTTGGTCGGTGGACGTATGTATGCAAAATGGAACTATAGGCAAGTGGAGAGATGGGGTGTGCTCGTTAGTTGAGGGCCATACGAATGAATGGGAATTTTAAAGCGCCAGTGACGTAAGCAGCGAAGAAGCCGCCGTCGCCGAGCATTAACTGGACTACATTTTGCAATTTGGAACTGTAAATTCTGGCCTGTTTTAAAAACAACGTATGTGACATTAGTTTCCCTATGCACATGAGTGTTTTTCCAGAAGAGCCAGAATTTACAGTTCCAAATTGCAAAATGCAGTTCAACTCATGAGCCCTGTCCACAAGGCTCTTATCACATGTCCCCGCGAGTTAGCGCTCAGATCCTTTTGATTTAATGTCAAATCCTGCTTTTCCATTTTCTCAAAAGGAGCTATATCCACTTCTACATTGTTTCTTATGCAGCTTCCACGAGCACACCCCATCTTTCCGCTTGCACGTATTTCCTTTTAGCATAAATACGTCCAACTTACTGTCGGAACCTATGACTTTAAAAATTTAGTTATTACTGAAAAACACTAATAGATCGTATTCGATACATCAAACAGGCGAGGTTGTATCGATATCGATCGGTTCAACATGTAAACATAACCTCAGAAGTCAATTGAATACTCCGAGGGAACGGGTTTTTGGTGATTTTTGATACTTATGAGTATAGAATGGCAATGAAGAGTGAACTTGTTAGGAATTTTCTAATTTCCAACTTTTCAAACTTAAATCCTGAAATTTGTATTCGATGTTATGTTCTATTGTTTTGAGCCAAACGATACATCGAACCATTATCGATCAATACTTATCGACGGTGAAACTCCCAATCCACGTATCTTGATTTGCGACGTTGAAAACTTCCTACCAAACGTCACTTTTTCAAATAGAAAGTTACTTGACGGCAATTTTTCATGAAAATTGCGTCGTTTTCCTTCTCGTGGCGTAAGCATTCTATGGAAACAAGGAATGATATTAACGAATTCTTCGATAAAAAAAAAGAGAAAAAAGGAGCGGAGACTTATATACACCGCAAACGTGATATATAGCCTGGTAGTTTCACTGTCGATACGTTGTTTATTATAAAGTTAGGCACTTGTCACAGGTAGAGATCGCCGGCAATTTGCAGCCGGTTCAAAGGATGATTCCTCGGCTACAAGCGCCTTCATTTTCTGTGATACTCTACGCTTTGTCGTGGAGTTAATTTAGTAACATGTTCGATCTGAACCCAACTGGGGATTTTCTCTCGTTCCGGACAATTTTCCTTCAGAAAGTACGAGCTAACGAGATTACACTGAATAAAATCCTGATCGAAAAACCACCGCGCTAAGGAAAAGTGTCGTCTGAACATTCAAATGTCGCAAAATTTACTTTTAGAAAATACACAAAACCGATTGCGATGAACGCACGGGTCGTAAGACGGGATGTTAGGGTTTTTTAGCGACGTTCGTAAAAAGTTGAGCTTGAAGCTGAAATCTCATCAGAGAGGGAAAAAGCTCACACACAAGCACAATTTTCCCTCAAAGAGATATGCTGTTTGGAGCAACACTAGTTACGTCCATTCAAATTGTGAGTCCAATTTCCAATCCGAGGGAAAATTGTGCTTGTGTGTGAGCTTTTTCCCTCTCTAATGAGATTTCAGCTTTAAGCTGAATTTTTTACGCACGTTGGCTACAAAACTCCAACATCCCGTTTTAGAAAATACTTATTTTTCAGATTATTTGTATATTTTTCATTGAAATTATCAGACACTTCAGATCTTTCGAACAAAATCCTCTAAAAATCTAGACGGCAAATCCTCAAAAAAAATGTTTTGAAAATTCGTAATTTATCTAGGAAAGTTCAGCGACGCCTAAAGGCTCATACAACGTTTCTCCTTGGCGCGGGCGAGACGAAAATCTGATGTAAATTACCTTGACTGGAGGCGGCCTTGGTTATCACAGACGGGGCGGAGTTGTTCTCCAAAGGGTTGTTTTGATCATTTTGGCTCGGCTCGTTTTGGCTGGGTTTCGGCTCGGGGCTGCACGTGGGGGAGGACTCGGGGGTGTTGATCCCGACGGGGGTGAAGGGAGACTCGCTACTGGGGTAGTAGGGGGAGTTCTTGGGGGGCGGGCTGTAGTAGTTGTACGGCTGCTGGTGCATGCCGGGCGAGAAGGCAGCCTGGGGCTGGTACGGTGAGCCTGGGTACTGGGCCTGGAGCTTGGTCTGCTGGGACTGCTGGGGGTGCGGGGAAGGGCGGCGTTGGGGCCCCTGGGGGAGACCCGGCGAGTGGGCCGAGTGGTTGGAGGAGGGCGGCGAGGGCCCGACGCTCCCCGAGCGTTTGTTGTGCTTCCTTCTCCGCGGACGATACTTGTAGTTGGGGTGCTCTTGCATGTGAATCACCCGCAGCCGCTCCGCTTCCTCCACGTACGGCCGCCTATCTTGAGGCGTCAAGCTCCGCCATTTTTTACCTGCAACACACGCATCACCAAAAATTAGACTCAAAAATTAAAAATTTAAAAAAAGTAGACAACATTTTTTTGAAAAAAATTAGACAAAAAAATTAAAAAAATTAGACATAAAATTTTAAAGAAAAATTAGACAAAAATGTTTTTAAAAAAAAAACTAGACAAAAAAGTCTGTAAAAAATAATTAGACATGAAATTTTAAAAAGAAATTAGACACAAAAATTTGAAAAAAAATCGGATAGAAATTTTTTTTTTAAAAAAATTTGACATAAGAATTTAAATCCAAAAAAAATAGACATAAAAATTTGAAAAAGAATTAGACACGAAAATTAAAAAATAGTTTACATAATAATATAAAGAAACTAAACCTAAAAAATAACAAAAATTAGACAACCTTGGACACGGATGCTAAGAGTCATACTAATTGTCGTTTCTAGCGTCATCCAGCTCGAAATATGAAAAAAACCGTCGAGGGCTTAGAATCTTGCCTGCGGACTGATGACTTGAAATTGATAGACAAAGCGATGGACACAGAAGACATGAAGGAACATGGAGCGTTCCTATTGGTTGATGCGGGCGGTTGCATAGGACAAAGGATGTAACCCGGAAAAACGTTTCAGAGGTTAAATGGTGGTACTACCCCAATTTGTTAGATGATATGGACATTTCCAATTAATTGTGATGGTATTCCAACCAAAATTGGAGCAGTACTGCATCAGTTGGGTTAGTACCCTAATTTATTGGAATACTACCACAATAAATCCGTAAACCTCCCTTAATCACAATGTGAAGTACGTGGGGCCTTCTAAGGAAGTTTGGTTTTAAACAAATCAGTGGCGGATTATATTTCTCTCAAAATGTTACTGCCAAGTACTTGAGTGGATAAAAAATCCCTGACCTTTCCAAGAAATTCATTACCGCACGGATTGAGCCGAGGAAAAGGCGTCAAATAAGAATTTCATGACAACAGATTGGCATCGTCGTTTGGATTCTCGCCGCCGCGAGGAGTACCCGCCAGAGAGCGCATGCGTCAATGCAGAAACGCTTTACGACCGCGGTAAAGGACAGGTCAGTGACATAAATAATCTCGGCAATATTACTTAATTTCTATCGATGTATCGCCCAGCCCGAGAGAGCCGTTAAAAAACGTAATAGTTGCAAGACAAAAATAACCCGAGACGACCATTCGGCGGAGTGCACATCGATTATCCTTCGATAAATCGATTTTTGAGATATAATCGAACACCCCAAATCCGAAACTCGATTTTCGAGATATCGAACGATTTGTGTCCTTGCTTGAGTCGTGTCGATTTTCGAGATATCGAGCGCTTCGTATCCTTGTTGAGAATCGTATCGATTTGCGAGATATCGATGGTGGTGACGGACCGGGAGCTTCCGAGCGGTTCGACTAATGATGAAGTTCTCACATGGTTGGAAGAACCGCAAGGGAATTCATCATCCATGCAAATGGCTTTCGACCAGCACAGCTCTTCGGCTCCAAACCGCAAATAAATATGATGACTTCTGATCTTAACTGACTGGGGTTTATTGGCTCATCTCGGCTCTTTGCTGGGGCCGCTCAGCCGGGGAGCGCATAGAAGAGAGCATAGTAAGTGCAAAGATGAATCTTGAAAAAATGGACCACGTAGTGTCCGAGAGTAAACTTTTATTTTATTGTGTGTCTAGTAAAACTGTAAATATTCATCAAAATAATTCAGAAATTCTCTCGGTGATTAATCATGGACGAATTTTATATTTACACGAAAATTGTTATTATATGATTATTATTTTTTATTTTTTTTTCATTTTTTTTATTAATTTTTTAATTGTGCTTGGTGGTAAGCTTTTTCCCTCTCTAATGAGATTTCAGTTTTAAGCTGAACTTTTTACGCACGTCGGCTAAAAAACTCCAACATCCAATTTTATATTTCACTGCATGTAAAAAAGTCCTTTTCCATTTACTGCTAGGCAAGCCAGCGGTATGTGCTATGTTTTGCATGCTTGAGTCGTCACGTTAGGGCACAGAACATACTTTAGGCTCCAGGTCTAACCATAGTCTTCCGTGTAAGGATGGCATATGGGTAGTGTCGTAAATGAGAGTTCTTTCCTGGGTGTAGATGACCCTTTGTGATCACATACAAAAACCTATTTTGTCTGCAGTTGCCTGTAGTCTCCTCAACTGTAGTATATGCCAGAAAACCCTCGGAAGAAGAGGTGATGAAGAGAGGGAGGGGAGAAACATTAGGGTTAAAAATTAGCAAAAAAGTGCACCCTTTTTCTCAAGACAGCATTGATAAAATTAACTCTCACGGATGATTTCAGACATACTACTGTTTTGTCTAAAATTACGTCAACAGTTGTTCCTTTGAGCAAAATGTTACTTTCCTTACATTCAATCATAATCGTACATGGTTTGTGGCCATGAAAATTAAAAATTACTCGTAAGGGTTTTTTATTCTACTGGATTCAGATTCTCCTTAATTTGATGGCTCGTCGTTCCATATTTTTCTCTCTGTCTACATATCCGAATGATGATACTTAAAATGGTCGTTCTATCTCTGTCTACATTTCCGAATGATGATACTCAAAACATTAAATAAACAAATAAAACACAAAGAGCCTATGGATGGATGTCATTTAAGTTTGGCAACGGTCTTGACAAATGTTTTCGGCTGATTCAGCTTGCGACAGGTTTATTGAGTTATTGTGTTCAAAAAACGCGTTCGGTCATGAAATATGAAGTTGATATGTAAATGAAGCACATGGCCAAAGATGCCGGTCGGGTTTTGGTCCAGCCGCCATGCGCTCGCGCTTCCCTCGTCCACGACCAGATTGTCATGTTGTCAAAGAATAAAAAACTTTCAAAGAGTTTCGATGACAAAACACCAAAATCCACGATACTTAAAAATCAAGGAATGAAATTCGGTGCCGGAGTCTATATCACGCCCAAAAACCCCGAATGCGAAGTGAAATCAGCAATATAAAAGCGCATGACACTCCGCAAAAAGAGTCTATTCCGCTCCGTAATAGTGTAAGTCACTCCGTAACGAGTAAAAAGTTTTATTTGGATGCTAAAATCGAATTTGAAAATGTTTGCGTGTAACTTTGAGACATCCTGTATGAATTTATGGGCAAATCCTTTTCAATAAACTGCCCTAAAATCGTTGCCTCTATGACCTAAGAGCGTATCTCAATTTTACGTGAGCTCTGTTCTTTGTAGAACTCTATGCTTTTCGGGGCTCATTTGGAAATAAAGACACCCCTTTGACAGCATACTGCCGTGCTAAGGAAGAACGCCGTATGCATATTCGAGAGCGGCCAAATTTCCTTCGATAAAATGTCTATTTTTGAGAAAAATGGAGCATTTGCGGGTGTCTGAAATTTGATGAATTTCGTGTTTAAATGGAAATTACTGAGTGAACTGAACACGAGGATACCCTTGGTTAATAAATTAAACAATTTTTGGATGAGATATGACAAAATGATCTAATCTGCTAAAATAAATGTGTTTAAATGGGAAATGCCGCCAGATGATGTCACTATAGACGGTGCATTTTCTCTCTTTTAAAGCTATGTTTATACTATTTCCCATACCAGAAAAAAATTATAAAAAATACTGCGAAATCAGCCCTTTACGCACTTTCAGATAAAGCGACACATACAAGCAAATTCTCCATTAAGAATATTTTCCCTTGAAATTTTCAGAAGTTTTCGATAAAATTAGAAACATAATTATCTGAGATATTGGTAGACAAATATTTAAAAAAAAATCCTGAAAATTGGTGATTTATCAGGGGAAATTTGGCAACGCCTGAAGGCTCATACGGCGTTTTTCCTTAGCACGGCAGCATGAGGCGACGAATTTACGAACTTTTCCGAGTAGATCCGGCATGCGCCTGTTCTGTTGCCCGACGCATATCTGTATTAGCATCGAAGGCCCCGCCGTCTTTGGGGCGATGGTGACGATGACAGGGGACAGCGGGGGGGGGGGGGGGGGGCAGGGGCGGCAAGGCAAAACCGCCCGCGTTTATCATCCGACGTCCGATCTGCGGTCCGCGGCCGGTGTCCGTTTTATAAATCGAGGAAGAGCAACAGGAAGAGAGCTTGGAACATCTTCACTTGCTACCAAATAATAATCCCAGATCTTGATAAACTCACCGACCGGTCTTTTGATATTTTCCTTGCGCCCCGCCCCGCCGTAGAGCGAGCTTTTGGGAGAGGTCGGTTTTCTGACTGAATATTTAAGGAAGAGCTGGGAAAGGTCGGAGGTTACGCACGTTCCTATTTCGCCTTCGATTTTTGGGGTAGGCCAGTAGTTATACTCTGTAGACTGACGATCATTGACGGAGAATTTGCACGGACAAATTTTTTTGCCTCATATGATAGTGTGAAATGTGCTGAGTGCGAAGTGTTTTCTATGATTTTTTTCTGATATAAGAAATTTTAGAAAAATAAATTTAAAATTGGGAGAATGTACCGCCTGGTAACATCATCTGGGAGCGTTTCTCATTTAAACTCATATATTTTGGCAGATTCGGTTATGTTGTCGAATATCCCCCAATGATTATTCAATTTAGAAATCAAGAAGATTTTCGTGCTCAATTCTCTAAATTGTTTAATTTTAAACGTGAGATCCATCAAATTGCAGACGCTTGCAAATTCTCCATTCGAGGATATTTATGAATGAGTGATACTGTGAAACCCTTAGGAGAATAATGATAGGGAGAAGTAGAAGAAGAAGAAGAAGAAGAAGAAGAAATAGAAGAAGAAAAAGAAGAAGAAAAGAACGAAGAGGAATACGAAGAAGAAGACGAAGGAGAAAAAGAAGAAGAAGACGAAGAAGAAAACAAAGACGAAGAAGAAGAGGAAGAGGAAGAAAATTAAGACGAAGACGAAGACGAAGAAGAAGAAAAGAAGAAAAAGAAGAAAAAGAAGAAGACGAAGGAGAAAAAGAAGAAGAAGAGGAAGACGAAAACGAAGACGACGAAGAAGAAGATGAAGAA